CAAGCAGCCACATGACTTCCACTGAGGTGCCGCAGACTGCCACTCAGGTGTCATGTACTGGTGATGATGTGCCACATGACTACCAGTGAAGTGTGACAGATTGCCACTAAGATGCCCCAACTGCCACCAAAGAACCACAGACTCCCACTAAGGTGCCACATGAGTACCACTGAAGTGCCTCAGATTAACAGTGAAGTCCCATAGACTAACCCTGAAGTGCCACAGACTGCCAATGAAGTGCTTCTGACTGCCACCTGAGTGCCACTAAGGTGCTACAGACTGGTGATGATGTGTCACATGACTACCAATGAAATGGCACAGACTGCCACTGAGGTGTCATGTGACTCCACTAAGATGCCCCAGACTGCCGCTAAGATGCCACATGACTGCCGCTGTGGTTCCACACACTGCCACTGAGGTGTCATGTGACTTCACTAAGCTGTCACAGAGTACCAGTGTCGCACCACAGACTGCTACAAAGATGCCACAGACTGCCAATGAAGTGCTGCTGACTGCCACCTAAGTGACACATGACAGCACTGAAATGTTACATGACTACCACTGACTGCCACTAAGGTGACACAAACTGCCACCAAGGTACCACATTTGACAACTGATGTGCCACTTAGGTGCCACGTGACTACCAATAAGTGCCACAGACTCCCGCTAAGATGCCACATCACTACTATTGTAGTTCCACACACTGCCACAAAGATGCCACAGACTCACCTAAAGTGCCACAGACTGCCAATGGAGTTCTACTGACTGGCTCCTACGTAAGATGCCACAGACTGGTGATGATGTGCCACATGACTACCAATGAAATGGCACAGACTGCCACAACGGTACCACAGTCGAACACTGAGGTGCCACGTGACTACCAATAAGTGCCACAGACTGACACTAAGATGCCACATCACTACTATTATAGTTCCACACACTGCCACAGACTCACCTGAAGTGCCGCAGACTGCCAATGACATGCTGCTGACTGCCACATAAGTGACACATGACAGCCACTGAAATGTTACGCAGCTACCACTGACTGCCACTAAGGTGACATAGACTACCACTGAAGNCCATAGACTAACCCTGAAGTGCCGCAGACTGCCAATGAAGTGCTGCTGATTGCCACCTGAGTGCCACTAAGGTGCTACAGACTGGTGATGATGTGTCACATGACTACCAATGAAATGGCACAGACTGCCATTGAGGTGCCATGTGACTCCACAAAGATGCCCCAGACTGCCACTAAGATGCCACATGACTGCCGCTGTGGTTCCACCCTCTGCCACAGACTGCCACTGAGGTGTCATGTGACTCCACTAAGATGCCACAGAGTACCAGTGTAGTACCACAGACTGCTACAAAGATGCCACAGACTGCCAATGAAGTGCTGCTGACTGTCACCTAAGTGCCACTTAAGTGACACATGACAGCACTGAAATGTTACATGACTACCACTGACTGCCACTAAGGTGACACAGACTACCACTGAAGTGCCACAAACTGCCACCAAGGTACCACATTTGACAACTGAGTGCCACGTGACTACCATTAAGTGCCACAGACTCCCGCTAAGATGCCACATCACTCCTATTGTAGTTCCACACACTGCCACTAAGATGCCTCAGACTCACCTGAAGTGCCACAGACTGCCAGTGGAGTTCTACTGACTGGCTCCTACGTAAGGTGCCACAGACTGGTGACGATGTGCCACATGACTACCAATGAAATGGCACAGACTGTCGGTGAAGTACCACAGACTGCCACAACGGTACCACAGTATACCACTGAGGTGCCACTTAGGTGCCATGTGACTACCAGTAAGTGCCACAGACTGCCACTAAGATGCCACATCACTACTATTATAGTTCCACACACTGCCACAGACTTACCTGAAGTGCCACAGACTGCCAATGGAGGTCTACTGACTCTGACAGACTGGTGACGATGTGTCACATGACTACCAATGAAATGGCACAGACTGCCACAACGGTACCACAGTTGACCACTGAGGTGCCACTTAGGTGCCATGTGACTACCAATAAGTGCCACAGACTGCCACTAAGATGCCACATCACTACTATTGTAGTTCCACACACTGCCACAGACTCACCTGAAGTGCCACAGACTGCCGATGACGAGCTGCTGACTGCCACATAAGTGACACATGACAGCCACTGAAATGTT